GCTAGATATCATCAAAATAAAAGCACATTGTTATGAAACACGTTTCATCCACTCGCACTGCAAATGCCGCACTAAATACTGTACATTACTGAACAATAAACTACCGAATCACCTCATTTAGATCCTGTATTTCTATTTAAATTATATGCACACTTCACAAAAACATTTCTAAACACTGCAAAATGTTACATCACCGAGCGATTAAGTAAATAATAGCTAAATGTTTTGTTTTTCTTTACACGGGACATGCAAATGGGTGTTTTGGTCTATTTATTTGTTCACATATCAATCAAAAAGTGTTGTACAAGTAATATTCTTGCTCATGCGGTTCAATATTTCCTCTCTAAAATAGATATTATTGTGAAAGTGTGTGTTCGTGAGATGTAATAGTGTGCTCGTGGCTTACCGGTGACTGCAGGTGCGTCCGCGCGCGCGTTACTCCAGGTGTCAGTGAACCGGACGGCGCTCGAGCTCGAGCTCTCACGAGCAGGGCGGGGCTTTGTGGGATCCGTCACGTGACTGGGAAGAGCCAACCAGAGAGAAGCTCCGTTATTTGCATCTTCTTTGATTTTTTTTACTTGCTTCCTGTTCTATTTTTATTTTCTGACGCTTTGACAATATTGTACATAAAGCATCATGACAGTTAGCCTGAAAAATGCCTGAAAAAAGTTAGCCGAAAAGTTGTCCTATGTTTTTTTGTTTTTTTGTTTTTGTTTCATAGAAAAAATATTGAAGTGTAGATTTAGCTGTATATAAATGTTCCACCCGACAGTCTAAAAGCACGTTGAAAATATATTTTATTTAACCTAACCCACAAAATAAAACGTTTGGAAGAAAAAAAGCAGGGAAAAGAAATAATATGCTGTAAAACCAGAAGAAATATTTCAGATTCTACTCTATTTGTAAGTTAGGTTTTCTTGGAACATTTTCAGTTTGTTATGCTAATAATAAAACAGATTGTAACGAACAACTGCGTATTCATATTATAAAAGTATGCGAAATAGACGTTTTTACTAGTCCTCTCAGATTTTTGGACTAGTGTAAATATAAATATATATAGATAATGATCATAATATGAAGTAATATTGTTCTAAATACAAATAAAGAAATATATATAATGCTTAAAATTAATAATCGTGCATTGATTTGATGATTTGACGACGGCATCGACCAATTACATCGAGGCGTTCAGTTTTTAACCAATGAGCATATCGCTATCATGACGGACGTTTACCCCTGCACCGTTGCATTGTGGGCATTGTAGTCTCCCGCGGCATAAGCTCAGCGCAGTTCCGACGGACGAACGATGATTAAAAACTACAATTTTCTCTGACGTGGCTACGTGGTTTGGTTTGACGCTCAGTTGCATCAGCGTAAATAGTTGATTCACAGACCGGTTGTGATCACTCTTCTCAGTTAAAGCGTTGTGTGTGCCTCACCTGTCGAAGTAGATTCATTCATTAGCGTCCCAAAGTGACAGAGGGTCAAATGAAACTGTATATTTCTGAGGGGAACCCGCACTGTATTAAAGCACTAGCGGTGCTGGAACTCACTGGAGTGAAATGTGACATAGAAGTGATCAGCCACGAGGGTGAGTGACTTTATTATCAATGTCTGTGAGGAACTTTCTGTCGTTCTTATTCCGGTAACTTAGATACAGTAAAGATGCTATTTAGGGTTTGTGACGGACGGTTATGTCGTATTTTTTACATTAGTGCAATGAGCTAAATGTAAATAAACAATTACCATGGTATGTGTCATGACAACGTATGTTTTTGCTTTGCTTTAACTCAACAAATAATGTTAAATCAATTTCCAACTCTTTTTTATGAGTTAGACAAGATTCAACTCATTTTTAAGTCAGTTTAATGTAACTTAAGTTGAAATGACTTAAACATGCAAGTTGATTGTACTTGAATGTTTACGGCTGCATTATTTATTTATATACAGTATACCATGGTAATACCATGTTTACCAATACAATATACTGTTTTATTACCATGGTACCGTTCCAGGACATGTGTAAGTGTGTTTTTGTTCCTCTTTTAATTGTGTTTCTGTGTGTTTTCTGTCTTCCAGAGAACGTGGTCCCTCACCTTAGCCGTCCGGTGTCGCCTGTCCTGTTGTTACCCAGCGGCCAACATCTCTTCAGTTCCAACAGCATCTGCCAGTGAGTGTGTGTGTATGTGTGTGTGCGTGTTAATCAGTGGTCAACATCTCTTCAACACACCTAAAATAATGATAGCAATCTTGAGGAATTGAGCAGCTTAAAATTTTCAGAAAAATGAAACCAAAAGTTTTTTGACTATTATTTATATTTGATAACTTCAGATTTATTTCCGTTTTACTATGCAGAAATGTTTTACTATGTATTTTATAGTTTTAATAGCTTTAGTCAACAACAATAACCATGATCTGAACGAACTACACAATAAAAAACACCTGAGGAGAAACATTAGAAGACCAAAAGAGAAAGTAAAAAAAGAACAATGAAGGAAATAAAAACAAAACAATTGGGTGTGTGTGTTTGTGTGTGGACAATAACCAGATTAACAGGCTGTTAATCACGTGATTGATTGATTCCTTGATGAAACCAGTTTATAGTTGCTCTCTCCTCATTTTTCAGTGTTTTGATATACATAATCATAGCTGTCAACCCTCCCGTTTTTTCCGGGTTTCTCACGTATTTTTACTCTTTTCCCGCTGTCTTCCCGTTTTAGTATTTTCCCGTAAAATATCCCGTATTTTTACTCTGATTGTGTGAGACGTACGAGCTCGGACTGATTCGGCTTGAAGTCGTTTATTCTCAGATGCGGCGCCGCGCGCGCTGGCCGGAGACACACTGGCTGTGTGGCGTGTCCGTTTTTATTTCGGCTCCCATGTTAACAGATTAGAGCTTGCACACTCCAGAAAACGCGTGCATGCTAGAAATAGAACTGACGCCTATTTTTTCACGCGACACGCAAGCGTGTTGAAAGCGTTTCCAGGCAAAAAAATAAAATAAATAAAAAATAGGAAACAATGTTTATATGCCATTTTGTACTCGAATAGCCTACATTTTACATTTTGATGTTTGAAAGTCAAGGTTTTTACATAAATTCAGATATCAATGTAATTTAAACAAATAATAATTATAATAATCGATTTATATTGCCATTAGTTTTGCCTATATATAATTTAATGTCATATAACATATGAATAAAATATCTTTTCTTTTTTTTTCCATTTGTTTCTTATGCTCTTAACAATGATTACACAAAGAAGAAGAAAAATCTTTTGGAAAAAAACGTTCTGGGCCTCAGGAGGACATAAAGATGGGATAGGCTACAATAACAACAGAGTGTGTCTTCTGAGTGACGGTCCACCACCAGGCTAAATATAGGCTCTTTAAAACTACATAAAATGTGTAAATGTAATTGAAATAAACAGACAGCCCACTTCCCTATTTTGTGGGTTTTGGAAGATGTGATAACAGTTGAAATTGTTGTCATAAAGGCAAGAGCAACACACCGCTAATCCAAATGTATATATTTTTTTTTTCTTTAAATGACACTAGTTTCTAGGCTAGTTATTAACTCTTTAGACTTTTAAGGATTAGTGCTTTATTTTTAAAGTTTGTGGGTAAGAATCGTGTAAAAAAAAAAAAATCCCTTATTTTGGGGAAGGATTCCGGGAAAACTCCCTTATTTTCAATGTTCAATGTTGACAGCTATGTACATAATATATGATATACATCATGTGACACTAAATGTCGAGTGTGTGTGTGTTTGTCCACAGATACCTGTATGATGTCAGCGGTCAGGCTTCGACTGACGCCACGAACCAGTGGCTGGAATGGGAGGCCACACATTTACAGGTGACGATCTGCAATATCAGATATTAAGGGAATAATTCATATAAAGCCTGAATTCATCAAGTCATCATGTCGTTCCAAATCCGTGACTCTTCCCAACGAGATGCACCGTATATGAACATGCAAATACATTTATTTACATATGTATTTACATATAAAATTTCTGTAGCATATTTGTCATTAATCACACACACACTTTCTCTTTCTCTCTCTCTCTCACACACACACACTCATAAGGATTGGATTCAATGCCTGTTCTTCACACAACACAAAATTCAGATTGACTGCATTCCATCGGCATGGCATGAGTGTGTGTTTCTTTGCTTCGCTATCGTGGCGTGCATCCGAGGGAAACGCCTCTGGAACCAGAACAAATGTGGGCGGGGCTTGATTTAGAATAAACTGCCATATTAAACATAAAAAAACAAGAATTTTGATTCCATGATGACTTTTTAAAGAAGAAGCTCCTGATTTGTTTAGGTTAATTCTATGCAATTACCTCATTAATATATAGTTGTGTGTGTGTGTGTTCAGCCTGCAGTGTTACAGTCTCTCCACATGGTGGCGCTGCAGGGGAAGCGTGTCGAAGCGGCGGCTGTGATGAAGGAGCCGCTGAACTGGCTGGAACAGAGTCTGAGCAAGAGAAGCACAGCGTTCCTCACCGCAGTGAGTCTACACACACACACACTCACTCACTCACTCACACTCTGTCTCACACTCACTCACTCACTCACTCACTCACTCACTCACTCACTCTCTCTCACACTCACACACACTCACACACTCACTCACTCACTCACTCACACACACACACACACACACACACACACACACACACACACACACACACACACACTCACTCACTCACTCTCACACACACACACACACACACTCACTCACACACACACACACACACTCACTCACTCACTCACACTCTGTCTCTCTCTCACTCACTCTCACACTCACTCTCACTCTCACATACACACTCACTCACTCACTCTCACACTCACTCACTCACTCACTCACTCACTCTCACACTCTCTCTCTCTCTCACTCACTCTCACACTCTCTCTCTCTCACACACTCTCACTCTCACATACACACTCACTCACTCACTCACTCACTCTCACACTCTCTCTCTCTCTCACTCACTCTCACACTCTCTCTCTCTCACACACTCTCACTCTCACATACACACTCACTCACTCACTCACTCACTCTCACACTCAATTCAATTCAATTCAGAAAGCTTTATTGGCATGACAAAAAATACATTTTGTATTGCCAAAGCGTCAAAACAACATAGAAAATGATTTGGAACATTTAGTACACAAAATATTAAAACTGATATCATAAAACAATAATAATAAAATGAACAGATTAATAAATAAAATAAAATGGATTTAGAAATCATCTATATATATATATATATATATATATACATAAAAAGAAAAATATTGAACATTATATACATGTGTGTAGGTCTTAGGCTGTGAGTGAGTGCGTGTTTAGTGTATGTTTGCTGGTTTCTGGTCGTCCCTCAGGATGTGGCAGGATGCTACAAATTTTGCAGCTATATTTGAGCATTTGGCTTCTTCGCCAAGAATGAAACAAAGTTTTTGGGTCGGATTACAGGTGTTAAATTGGGGAAATATATTATTAATTTTGGGGTAATTCACACTCTCTCTCTCTCTCACTCACTCTCACACTCTCTCTCTCTCACACACTCTCACTCTCACATACACACTCACTCACTCACTCACTCACTCTCACACTCTCTCTCTCTCTCACTCACTCTCACACTCTCTCTCTCTCACACACTCTCACTCTCACATACACACTCACTCACTCACTCACTCACTCTCACACTCTCTCTCTCTCTCACTCACTCTCACACTCTCTCTCTCTCACACACTCTCACTCTCACATACACACTCACTCACTCACTCTCACACTCACTCACTCACTCACTCACTCACTCTCACACTCTCTCAATTCAATTCAATTCAATTCAATATAGCTTTATTAGCATGACTGTGTAACACAATGTTGCCAAAGCATCAACATATTATATAAAAATAATAGAACAAACACACAGAACATATATGTACAGATCATGTCATATATAGCATGGTAAATAAATAAACACAGTATATATTAAGAAATGAATAAATACAATTAGCTGTCTCTGGCCTTGTGAATAGCTAACACATATTTAGCCGCTAGTGCAGCTGTATCATCATCTTCTCCGAGTAAGAAGAACATTTTCTCAGTGTCACTCAGATCAGAGAATGATGGGATGAAGGATTCAAATTTGGGCAGAAAAGTTTCTCTAATATTGTTATATTTGGGACAGAAGAGCAGAAAGTGTTCCTCATCCTCTATGTGCTGTAGATCACAGTGTCTACAGATCCGCTGCTCTCTCTCTGTCCATGTGTGTCTATGTCTTCCTCTCTCTATCTCTAGATCATGGTCGCTTAGTCTGTATTTGGAGAGGATTTGTCTTTCTTTAAAATGTTTAATAAATAGATAGCTGGCCAATTTAGTGGTTCTATTGAGGGTCGAGTAACATTGGAGTTTATTTTGAAGGTCAAAATGTGCTTTTAGTGATTGATCATGAGTGTCTTTTAGGTGTGTGTGGATTTCTTTAATAATAGTTTTGGGGCTGTAGCTGTGGTCAGTGGGGAGTGCGGTCTGATGGACGAGTTGAAGAGCGAGTGTGTGTAGAGGATGAGGTTCTGCTGAGCTTTCATTGGCGAGGACGGCTTTATACTGGACTGACTCTGGATCAGACTGATGGAGATGATGCCAGAACTGAACACATCTCTTCTGGATCTCGATGTTCAGCGGGTACAGGCCTAGCTCAGCCCTGCAGGCGGCAGTGGGCGTGTTTCGGTGAACCCCTAAAATATTTTTGGCAATTTCCAATTGTAATTTTTCTACTAATGTTTTATCCCAATTTTTTAAATTTAGTAGTGGTCCCCAAATTTCACATCCATATAGAAGGATTGGTTTTATAATCGAATTATATAATTTTATCCAGGTTTTAATGGGTAATTTTAAGTGTCCACATCGTGACTTTATGGCATAAAAAGCCCTCCGAGCCTTTTCACTGAGTGTTTTGACAGCCAGACCGAAGCGTCCCGAAGCGCTGATGTCGATGCCTAGATAGCTATAGCTCGTGCTGTGCTGCAGGACCTGGCCTTTATACAGGAACTGGTGTTTGTGGTCCTGGGATCGGGCCTTCTTCTGGAACACCATGACTCTGGTTTTGTCCAGATTGACTGTCAGGGCCCAGTCGTGACAGTACTGTTCCAGCAGGGACAGGCTCTGCTGAAGGCCCTCAGGTGTGCGGGACAGCAGGACCAGATCATCCGCGTATAGCAGACATCTGACCTCTGACCCCTGACCCCTGGCCTGTGTGTGGTGTAGAGTGAGGCCGGGCACAGTGGAGCTGTCCAGCGCTGATGCCAGATCATTGATGTAGATGTTGAATAGAGTCGGGCTCAGACTGCAGCCTTGCCTCACTCCACGGCCCTGCTGGAAGAACGCGCTTCTGTGCTTCCTGATTTTTACCGCACTTTTGCTGTTGCTGTACAGAGATTTTATAATGTCAAACGTTTTTCCGCCAATGCCAATTTTTAGGATTTTATACAGTAGACCATCATGCCAAATTGAATCGAATGCCTTTTTGAAGTCTACAAAACATGCAAATATTTTCCTTTGTTTGTCGTTGATGTTGTTGTTGATGAGTGTGTGGAGTGAATAGATGTGGTCGGACGTGCGGTGTTTTGGTAGAAAGCCAATCTGTGCTTTATTTAAAATGTTGTGCGATGAGATGTATGAGACGATGCGTGTGTTTATGATGCTGCAGAACAGTTTTCCTAAAGCACTGCTCACACTGATGCCGCGGTAACTATTGGGGTCGAGACGATCGCCTTTCTTAAACACGGGTGTGATGAGTCCCTCAGACCAGCTCTCAGGAACGCTTCCGGACCACAACACCAGATTAAAGAGTTTGGCCAGAGTTTGAATCATGCTGGGACTGCTGAGTTTAAGCATTTCATTACTAATGTTATCTTGTCCACACGCTTTCTTTAGTTTAAGATTTTTAATATGTTCTAATATTTCAGATATTGTTATAAATGTATCTAATGGATTTTGGTAATTTTTAATAGTTTTTTCTAAGTCTTCTAGTGTGTTCTGTATGTTACGCTGAGGTTGGTTAAGGTCAGCCGGTGTAATTTTTTGATATAAATTTTCAAAATAAGATTTCCAAATTGTGCCGTTCTGGAGTGACATCTCTAATTTGGGTTTTTCTAGTTTTTTATATAGTTTCCAGAAAGTATTTTGATCTAGCGAATCATCAATTTCATCAATTTTGGCTTTAAAATATTTTTCTCTTTTGTTCCACAGAAGTCTTTTGTAACTCTGCAGACAGTCTGAATAGGAGAGCCGTAATGTCTGGCTGGACGGGTCTCTGTGCTTTCTGTTAGAGAGTCTCCTCAGCTCTTTCCTGAGACCTGCACATTCGTCATCGAACCAGACATCCTTTCTCATTCTCTGTTGATTTGTTTTATGTGTGCTTTGCGGTTTAATGTTAGATAGAGTTATTAATGTTTTGAATATGCAATTTAAGTTTTTAGTTGCTAGATTTATTCCATTAATATCTAGAGTGAAATCGGTGGACATAAATTCATCCAACATGTTTAATATTGTAGGACTGTTCATGTTTTCTTTGAATTGATCCGAGTTGGATTGATTCCATTTAAGTTTAGGTTTCAGAGGAAACAGTTTTTCAGATTCGAGTGGAGAAGTTTGAGTTATTTCACACGGGGGTTTCAGATAAAGCACAGTTTGGCAGTGATCAGAGATCGGGAGCTGAGGTCTGACTGTGAAGGCATTAATAAAGCTTGGGTCAATATCTGTTATTGAGTAATCTACCACACTGGATCCTAATCTGGAGCAGTAAGTGAATCTACCTAACGTATCTCCACGAGTTCTGCCGTTGAGGATGTAGAGTCCTAAACCTTTACAGAGTTTTAACATTTGTTTTCCATTAATGTTCACTGAGTTATCATAGCTATTTCTCTGTGTCATATTCAATGAGGATGAAACGTGGTGTTATTGAGGACGTGGTCATTATCTACAATATTTACATAATCAATTTCTCGCCCTGTTCTGGCGTTGAAGTCTCCACAGATGAGGACATTTCCTCTGGACTGGAAGTGTAAGATGTCAGCCTGTAGTGTTGGGAAGCTCTGCTCTTCGTAATAGGGAGAGTCATGCGGTGGGATATAGATGGCACAGAGGTAAAGATTGGACAGTGGTATGACGGATTTCACTTCAAGCCAAATAGATGATTTACCAATTTTAGCAATTTTAATCAAATGTTTTAAATCGTCTTTGTGCCATATAAGTATTCCACCTGAGTCTCGGCCGCATTTTATTTTAGAATTTTTTGTTGAAGGAACTATAATTTCCTTATATCCTATTGGACAGTGTAACGCCTCATTACTACGACACCACGTCTCATGAAAAATACAGACGTCCATATCTCTTACACTGCTGAGTAAGTCTTGGTCTGCAGTCTTATTACCAAAAGTAGAAGAGTGCAGACCTTGTACATTCCAACAACTGATTTTAAAAGATTTCATGGATAAGTT